TTTAATTTTACTAACCATAATAAATAACTAGAAGTGGTAGCTCAAAAGCTAAGCGCTCGCTGTAAATTACACATTACGCGAGCAACCCTGGTTTGATTCTCGCCGGCACCAATGAAACTGTTAACTGCAATTTCAAGTGTTGATTTACACCGTGCTCGGCGGTTCATCGCCGAACAAGTGTTTTCACACTTTCACATGAGTTACTTCACTATATCATAGTGAGGAAACCTACATCTCTGAGAACTAAGAAAAACATATATATTTCGAAGACATGTGAAGTTCGCCAACACACATTGGGGCAGCGCGACGGACATTTCCTTCTTTTCAACTCCCTCAGAAATAGGAGGAGGCATGTGCCCGGTAGTGGGACGTATAAAGGCTGTAACTTTCACTTTTACTTTGCCACATTTATTTTCATCGTAGAACATAAACCGTACATAAATCGATTGATTAGCAGATTAAACTAGTACATACCAGAACCTTTTTTAATATTTTCTTAATACAAGCTAGTACTTGGCTACAATCTCACTTAGTGTTAGGTTGGGATGTAGCCAGATAATAGGATAGGTAAGTCGCACTATCTTAGCGTAAAAACTTATTTACTTTTTCCTGTGACACGTGCCTCTAATAAGCCTCAATCAACCTGCACTGGGGTGAATTCTAGATAGTTATATTTTTAAGATGTCATCCTGTGCTATATAAGGAAAATTATTAGTCTAATGGTCGTCCAGTGGTCTAAATCCGACCGTTATTCATAAAATGTTTATGTGTGTATATTAAGCAAGCTATATTTTACTTACAACTCTCAGTATATATGCAGAGTTATTTTGCAATAACAGGCCAAATTTTCAGAGAAGTTCCTGAATAAGTAATATATGCAAATGGTGAAGAATAGATAATTAAAAAAAATCTCAAACATTCTGTCTTTTAAATTCGAAATGCGTGGTAATGCATTATCTTAACAGATTGTCATTCATAAATATTTAACGTACTATTTTACTATGCTCGCGTGTGCGAGCAACGTTTTTGCCGACGTACCGACCATCACGAATGTATATTCGTAATGATCTGTAGGTCCGCAAAAACGTTGTGAATTGAATCACACACAGAGGAGCGCGCGTACGCGTAGTCGTTACCCATAAATCACATTAAATTTGGGAGAATTTTAAATAAAACTTGAAGCCTTATTTACTCACAATTTCAATAACTGCAATAATGGTATACCATTACTTATATGTTTGAAGTTCGGTTTAAAATTTGTCTATTATATGAAAAATAACCCTGTTTATAATGTAAAATTATTGTAAAATTATTTATATTAAAATGACTATATGGTAACGATAAGAAAGTTATTAATAAGTAAATAAGAAATCATTACTTTTATTTCAGACTACGGTGGGCCTACGCAGTTACTACGCGCTTGGTTGCCTGAGCAGAGCTTTTTGGTAACATCGTATGCTATGCTCGGAGCGGATCGATAGGTACATGCCAAATATTCTCGTCAACCCAAAACGTCATCATAATTGTTTTAAGTAATTTTCGATACTCTTTTTCCAGTCCATCTCGGGTACCATGAGTTGATCTGTGCTGGCATTACCGCTATGGAACCCATAGAGGTACGCGTAGAGGTGGGGACGGTTATCGATGTCTATGCGCATCCTAAGGATGGGCAGGTCAAGACTATCGTAGCGTCGAGAACAGATTACCTCTCTGACGTATACGTAAACTCCAGCCTGAGGCATAAAGGAGTGTTCCAATTTGTAACCCGGGTAGGAAAGATAAAATGACCTTGCTCTTTTTCATACTGACACCTGCGTCCCGGTCAGTAAGAGCAAGGCCGGCTTCGCCGTCTTTAGATGACAGGGGACGACATTTACGCTCAAGCTATGTAAATGCTTAATAGAAGTATGCTAGCTTGGACGTGAATGCTCAGCGAGGGCTTTTCCATTACCAGGGGTGCTGTTACACTTCTGAGATAACTTCTATTTTTCACTTTCATGTTAATGCTGGAGAGAGGGATTGGGCTTCCGGCCATATGCACTCACAAGGTGAAACGCAGAAGTAAAGCTTCTACTTCACTGTGGTATTGTGTGAGGTCGTGGTACTTCGAAAATTCTAGCAGACCCATCCATGCGATAGCAAAAGCTGCCACCTGGGTCTATCACAGTTATAATCATATTCATTTTTAAATATCGGCCTAAATAGTCTAACTGTACGGTGCTTATTAGAGCTTTTTAGTTTTAAATAAGGTGAACACGGAATAAAATTTGAAGGTAGGCCTAAATTAACTGAATATTTGTACCGTAAAATTAAAGCCATTTTCGTAATTTACTCATTCGAATAAATGCATATATTTCATAAATTACGCTATTCACTCAGTGGCTTTTATTTTACAAAAATGTTTGAATTAAACTGTGTAATTAAGGGAATATAATATGAATATATTATATAAAACAATTTCATGTGCATATCCGATGTTGTACTGTATTATTTACGATCGCAATTTTCTGCAGTAGACGGAGGAATAATGGATATAACGGTGTCCCCAGTACTCATCAATAATGGCAATACATCTATGAGTACATTACAAGAAAGAAATCAAATTATTATTAATTATTTATCAACGTCAATTCGCACATTCAGTCAAGATTTTTTACAGTAATGCCACAAAGCTTAAGTCCTTAGCCACCTGCCTGTATTCACTGCATATAGTAGAGGGTTGTCCATCTTACACTAAGCTTGCCGCTACAAGACTGCCATTAGAGAAGCAAATCCATTACTTGGACATGTTCCTTTTGAAGTAAAAGTATTATATTACTATAAGTGACGTAACATGTGACTCTTAAACATCATTTGTGCATTTTGTCTATTTATAGCATGGATACGGTTAACGAAATATGCTACTTTTTGGCTTGTACATAATAAATCCTGATCCTGCGTATTGACAGACAAGACTCTGATTGCAAACTGATAATAGAAAATCCGTGGTCTGGTGTCAGGAAGCGGTATTGTCGTTGAGGATCTATAATCTCAAAAGTATTAACTATACATGTTATTTCACTTACACGAGAAGATTACAATTTCATAAATATTTAGAAGTAATGTAACATGATAGTTTTTTTTTTATAGAATAAGGATAACAAACGAGCACACAGTCCACCTGATGGTAAGTGGTTGCCGTGGCCTATAGACATCTACATTTATCCTCAATAAAGAATCAAAATGCAGATGCGTCGTTACTCATGAGGACTAAGATGGAATGCCTCTTTTCTAGTAAAAAGGGTCTCCGGTTCACTACACTCACCATACACAACACAGCAGTGTCAAGCTGCCGTTTTACGTTGGTATTCTGTGAAGAATACCAGCGTATAATGGAAGAAGAGCACTATAGCCGTCTCGCAACGTCTCGTCACGTCAGACGGTTACTACTAGCCGTCTCGCAACTTTCAGTTAGCTTCTTGTCATTACTCTGGATCTTTTAGATATTACATTTCACAAGCTTAGGATGCCGTATATTGCAAGACTTCACCACATGTAGATACTCTGTCAATACCATTTGATTCGCTAACAATCAAAATATAAACATCACAAATTATCACCCAATTTATGAAAAAACATAAAATAGAATTTCCAAACAATACATGTTGCTAACAATGCTGTTCACAGCATTTTCCTTCATTCTCGAAATCATAATATATTAAAGCTTTTGCCCACAGCCGGTAAGTAATGTTTTAGTTTCGCTTGTAGCGTGCAATAGAGCCACTAAAGCTGCAAACATATATTGTAAGAAAGAAGAAAAATCCCTGTGTGATTTTTCACGTCCCTAAGTGTACGATATGTCTGTAAAAATGAATTTTTGTGGATTTGACTTGCATCTTTGTTAATATCACTCTATTTTTATTTAAATTATGCCATGTCTCTTTATAGTTCCGTACCTCAAAAGGAAAAACAGAATCCTCATAGGATTATTTTGTTGCCCGTTGTCGGATTAGATATCCTGTCTGTCCGTCTGTCACCATCCGAGTATAGAATATTAAGTTCTGCGTATATTGGACCAAAATTTATATATTGAATAAAAGTACATTTACGGATTTTATTCCCCCATTCTGTAAATATATATATATATATATATATATATATATATATATATACCTAGTCAGGTCATAAGTATTGTCACACAGTAAAAACTTTTCTTTCAGAATGCTGGCCACAAAATTTTTTATTGAATTCGAATTTCGAATTGTTCATGAAAATAAAACTGTATATAGTTTTTAGAATTTTACTCATTTCTAAATATGGAGTGGACGCTTAAAGAAGACGGTGTTGCAGTTATTGCGTTACATCGTTGCGGTTACGCGCCAATTCAAATTTTTGACATACTGAAAAATTTTAATATAACCAAAAGATTCGTTTATCGTACCATCAAACGATACAATGAAGACTCTAGTGTAGATGACAGGTCAAGAAGTAGTCGCCCTTGGTCTGTTAGGACTCCTGCAGTAATAAAAGCTGTGAAGGCGCGAATTCAAAGAAATCCCAAACGTAAGCAGAAACTGTTGGCCCTTCAGATGGAGTTAAGCAGAACCACGGCGAAAAGGGTGTTAAATGACGACTTAGGGCTTCGGGCATATCGAAGAAAAACAGTACATCGTTTGAATGCTCGTCTAATGGACCTGAGACTGAAGAGATGCCGCGCTTTGTTGAAGCGGTACGCGGGAAAAAAATATCGGGAAATTCTTGTCTTGGATAAAAAAATTTTTATTGTAGAAGAGAGCTACAACAAACAAAATGATAAGGTATACGCACACAGTAGTGAAGAAGCGAGGAACCGTATTCCGCGTGTCCCACGAGGTCATTTTCCATCCTCGCTCATGGTATGGTTGGGAGTTTCTTATTGGGGCTTAACGGAGGTACATTTTTGTGAGAAAGGTGTAAAAACGAATGCAGTTGTGTATCAAAATACAGTCCTGACGAACCTTGTGGAATCTGTTTCTCATACCATGTTCAATAACAGGCACTGGGTATTCCAACAAGATTCGGCGCCAGCTCATAGAGCGAAGAGCACACAAGTTTGGCTGGCGGCGCGTGAAATCGACTTCATCCGGCACGAAGACTGGTTCTCCTCCAGTCCAGATTTGAATCCGTTAGATTACAAGATATGGCAAAACTTAGAGGAAAAGGCGTGCTCAAAGCCTCATCCCAAATTGAGGTCACTCAAGACATCCTTGATTAAGGCAGCCGCCGATATTGTTATGGACCTTTATTATACCTTTATTGTTAAGTGCGCGCGCGCCTTTGTCGTAGAGTAGGACACCTGTTATCGACGATTCGCTTCTTTCAAAGGGAGTAATAATCGATAAACAAAAAAAATGTTTAGCTTTGAACACTAGGGTATGTTTTTTTTAGAATTATCGCGTTGTTATGATAATTCTAAAAACACTACGACCTAAGTATTTAAAGCTAAACTTTAAAGCTTTTTTTGTTTAAGTGTGTTCTTGTAGATTTAGAGAAAATAAATTATATATCGATAAACGATAATTGCACCTTGTGGCCGCCTTATTTATTACTTTTATTATTTTTACCATTTTGGAATTTGGAAGTTTAGCTTCCACATCACACGCAATTCTTCCAGAATACATACATACACACACACACACACACACACACTTACACACACACACACACACCCACATATATATATATATATAAAAGTAGTAATAAATATGTATATATTATGTACATATATATGTATGTATGTAGATAATATACACATATACATAATAAATCTTATTTTCACCGAAGGTTTAAACAACATATTTATTTTAAATGGCAGTTTAACTTTGTTTAGTTTAGTTATAATAAATTTTTTCGACTGTGAAATGGTAAAATTTTCTGTGAAAAATTATTATTAAATAGAATAGAGACTGCGTCACTCAGATCGGCGTCAGTCGTCGTCGTGAGTGGATATTGTTTCGGTTGTTTGCAGCGGCTAAAAAGATCGCTGTATAAATACACAATATTCGAATAACCAAATTTCTTATATACTTGATTAAATAATAATAAGAGATTTTTTTTATTACAATATTTTAAAAGCACAGAATAAATAATAGTAGTACGTACTAAAAGTAAGTAGTATCAATTTTTTCGTCATGGGTGTCATTTTATGATTATCGAGGGTGTTGAAGACGATAGGGTTGTCGAAACGTAAATCCAAGATAGCGGCTGATTTAGGTTTTTTTTTTTTTATAGGAGAGGGGGCAAACGAGCATGCGGCTCACCTGATGGTAAGTGACTACCGCCGCCCATGAACAACTGCAACACCAGGGGAATCGCAGATGCGTTGCCGGCCTTTTAAAAAGGAGTACGCTCTTTTCTTGAAGGTCCCTAAGTCGTATCGGTCCGGAAAAATCGCTGATGGTAATCGATTCCACAAGGAGGTCGTGCGAGGAAGAAAACATCTTCTAAATCGCACAGTGGTGGACTGCCAATCATCCAGATGGTGTGGATGGTATCGGGAGTTCTGCCGCGATGTGCGTTCGTAAAATATGGCAGCTGGGATTAATCCGAACAATTCCTCAGAGCACTCCCCATGGTAGATGCGAAAGAAAATGCAAAGGGATGCAACATCTTTTCGCAGTGCTAATAAATCGAGCCGATTTTTTCATCATGGGTGTCATTTTCATGGTTTTAGAGGGTGTTGAAGCCAATAGTGCTGTCAAAATGTATTTAAACTACTTAAAAAATAATCCGTATAATCTTGTCATACGTAATTTTTTAATGCGCTTAGGGCGTGCCCAATTGGATTTACCAATTTAACTACTTCTCATAGAGACACTTTAATTCAAAACTTCAATCATGTTTCTCCAGGATTAAAAACTGTCAGTATGGAACCACTATACCTGTCACGTGCCCTGTTGTTTTTCGATAGTATTAAACCTGTTTTAAAAACAAAATTTGATCAGTTTTTCAACCACGTTGATAAATTGTATAAATAAAAACCTCACACAGCTCTTACTATTTTAAAATATTGTCTCATTGTACCTAGATTTACATACTTACTCCGCTTGAGTCCAGTCTGGAAATGTTCGGATATTTTAATAAAAATTGATAATAGTCGGTAGGCAGGTATATTCGCTATAATCTCTCCTCTTGTGTATTCATTTTTTATCAATCTCATCACATTAAATCTTCAGGGCTCTTACCACCTGTATGCTGATGATCTGCAGTTATATGTGCAAGTGAAACACTCAAATATCTCTAATGCTATCACATTATTAAATGATGACTTGAAGTACATCTCCAAATGGTCCATTGTGTATGGCATAAACGTGAACCCATCTAAGTGTCAAACAATAATCTTAGGTAGCCAAAGGTTATTAACGAAACTAGATATTCCCCCCCCCCTACCATCAATTATGTTTAAAAATAATGTCATACCATTCTCTCCCCATGTAAAGAACCTTAGTCTGTACTTTGATGGTTGCTTAAGATGGAACAAACATATACAGGAGGTGAGTCGCAAAACTACTGGAACTTTGCGATCTCTATATCGATTAAAAAACTTTCTTCCCACCTTCTTTTAAGAGTTTACTTGTCCAGGCACATATCCTACCGATTATTGATTATGTTGATGTGTGTTGCTCAGACCTTTCCCAACGTCATCTTAATACATTGGATATACTACTTAATAAGTGTATCAGATACATTTATGGTCCCCGTAAATACGACCATGTATCTTCTTTTCACCCTCAGGTAAATTGACTGCCGATCAGTCAGCGCAGATATGTTAGCATACTCTGCACCCTCTTCACAATTATGAAAGATCCATGTGTTCCCGAGTATCTGAAATAAAAAATTTCAATACCATTGGAGATTCTCATAATCGTTCTCTCCGTTTTTCGGCTAATCTTAAGTTGCTCACACCTTTACACCGTACTAGTTATTTATCTCATTCTTTCGCACTCACGGCCATCAGACCGGAACAATATCCATCTTGAGATTAAAAAAGCTTCCAACAATTTTTTTTTTATAATCAAGGGTGCTAAGAATCTCCGGTGGAGGTTCGTTTGCCACCTAAGACGACTCGACCTGGCAACTTATAACGCACGCACCCTGAGGACTGACGAGAAGATCCTGGAGCTGGAAAAAGAGAAAGACAAGTTACGCTCGCATATTATAGGATAATTCGAAGTCCGAAGAGAGGGGGAGGACACGGTAATCCTCGAATCCGGTAACTTGCACTATCATCGAGAGCGCGACCATCTGTCATAAGTAGGTGTCGGATTTATCGTCCACAAGTCTCTCGTTAACAACGTTGTAAAGATTGAGAGTGTGTCGACGAGGGTATCGTACCTTATACTCAGAATCAGTAAATGGTATTAGCTGAAGGTCATACAGGTTTACGCAATTACTTCGGCACACCCCGATGAGGAAGTAGAGAAAATGTATGAGGATATCTTTAGAGCCATGCATTCCTCCAAAACCCACTATACGGTGTTAATGGGAGACTTAAATGCAAAACTAGGCACAAGAGAGAACGGTGAGCTGAAAGTAGGGAAATTCGGAATAGGGCAACGGAACCCAAGGGGCCAGCATCTGGCCGACTTCATGGAGAAAGAGGGACTCTTTATGATGAACTCTTTCTTCCAGAAGCGGCCCTACAGGAAGTGGACCTGGTCGAGCCCCGACGGTTCGACAAAAAATGAGATTGACTTCATTATGACGACCAGACGACAACTGTTCAGTGATGTCTCCGTGATCGCGAGGGTGAAAACTGGTAGCGATCACCGAATGGTCAGAGGCACACTGAACCTACACGTTAAGTTGGAGAGGTCTCGTCTAATGAAGTCAACGCTCCGTACCCCTCGTGCACTGTTCCAAGTCCCGAAAACTTCCAGCTCGAGTTACAAAACCGTTTTCAATGCCTAGATGAAGCTACATTCTTCAACAGATTTGACAGCATACAGGCAACTGAACAGACAAATCCCCAAATGCATGCGGCGGGAATTACGCAACTTCAATACAGCTAGCATTGAAGAAGCGATCGAGCGGAACCAAGGCTCCAATGTCTTTGCCAGAGATCTGTCTGCCAGAAAGCTGTCAAAGCTGAAGACCGAGTGTGGCAGCATCGTTTCCGGTGCACCTGAGATTTTGAGTGAGATTGAGAGGTTCTATGGGCAGCTGTACACGTCATCGTTGGAGCCACACGCAAGTGTGAGTAACGATCCAATAGCGAGCCTTATCCGACACTATTCCGAAAAAATCCCGGACGTCAGTCTGAGCGAGAATTAGAATTGCTCTCCAGCACCTTAAAAACGGCAAGGCCCCAGGTGAGGATGGAATTACAGCAGAGCTTCTGAAAGTGGATGGAAAACCGGTACTTGAAGTCCTCCAGAAGCTATTTAATTCCGTCCTCCATGGCGGCAATTATACCGGACGCGTGGAGCAGAAGTGTGGTGATCTTGTACTCCAAGAAGGGTGACAACGCTCTCTTGAAGAACTACAGACTGATTTCCCTTCTGTGCCGCATCTATGTGCTGTTTTCGAGAGTCATTACGAATCGTCTCGCACGCAGATTTGACGACATCCAGCCTCCCGAACAAGCCGGTTTCCGAAAGGGCCTTAGCACCATAGGCCATATACATATCCTTCGGCAAGTTGTACAGAAGTCCGAGGAGTACAATTTGCCAATATGTCTGGCGTATGTAGACTATGAGAAAGCCTTTGATTTCGTCGAAATTTGGGCGGTGCTGCAGTCCCTTCAGCAGTGTCAAGTTTACTGTCGGTATATCGAAGTGCTGAAGTGCTTGTACAGTAGGGCTACGATGGCTATCCGAGTACAGAAACAGAGTACGAAACCTATCCAATTGCCGAGATTTGTAGACAGGGTGACGTTATATCCCAGAAACTCTTCACTGCTGCATTGGAAGACGTTTTCAAGCTACTGGACTGGAAAGGATACGGTATTAACATCAATGGCGAGTACATCACACACCTTCGATTTGCTGACGATATAGTCCTTATGGCAGAATCAATGAAGGAACTAAGCACCATGCTCAATGACCTCTATAGTGTCTCCCAACGGATAGCTCTTAAGATGAACATGGACAAAACAAAGATCATGTTTTTTGTCTATGTCACACCTATGCCGGTAGTTGTTGGGAGCGCTAAGCTCGAAGTTTTTGACGAGTATGTTTACCTGGGACAAATAGTCCGACTAGGTAAGTCCAACTTCGACCGAGTGGTCAATCGCTGGCTTGGCTGTGCACAGTTCGGTAAAATACGAGACATGTTCTCTTCAGACATACCTCAAAACCTTAAAACAAAATTGTACAACCAGTGCGTGTTGCCAGTGATGACTTACGGATCTGAGACGTGGTCTTTCATTGCTGGTCGTATGAGAAAGCTCAAGGTCGCTCAGCGAGCTATGAAGTGGGCTATGCTCGGGGTTTCTCTGCGTGATAAAATTAGAAATGAGGATATTCGCAGTAGAACCAGAGTAACCGAAATAGCCCAACGGATAAGTAAGCTGAATTGGAAGTGGGCCGGCCATATAGCTCGAAGAACCGACAACCGATGGGGAAGAAAAGTTCTCGAGTGGCAGCCGCGTACCGGTAGGCGAAGTGTAGGGCGACCCTCCAATTATGGAGTGACAGGTCGTCACTCCATCAAGTGGGGGTCGCCCCGTAAGACATGCAGGAAGTCGATGGATGCAGGTGGCTCAGGACCGTGCTTTGTGGCATTCTTGGGGGAGGCGTATGTTCAGCAGTGGACTTGTGAAAGGCTATAATGATGATGATGATGTACATTTTTGTACATGAAAGATTAAATAAATAAATAAAATAACCTTAAAATAGCTTTAGAAAAAATTCTAAATTTAACTTTAAATACAACAGCGTGGACTCAAGCTACTATACCTAAAAAATTTGGTATTATTGGTGTGAGAAATCTTTCTAGCGTTGCATTACCTGCTTTCCTTTTTTCCGCCCATAGTATCAGTGACTTATGTAACATAATTTTAAATAATAAAGTAGACCTGTGCTTTGCTACGGAGGCAGGGCAGACATGACAAATGCTCTGTTCCTGTGAAAATGTTTCACTGGTAGCTAACCAACATAAACAGTGAGATATTCCGTTGGTACAGACCATCCAGAAAGATTAGTTTCATAATTAACGTGACCAAGATAAGGCACTCCTTCTCGCTGTTTCGACTACGGAATCTAGTCACTGGTTACACGCTTTACCATCAAGTAATCGGCACATTACTTGATGGGGAAAGGTTGCGCATCGTTCTAGGAATCCGACTAGGAGCGGCAATTTGTCAACACCATCAGTGCCCCTGTGGTAGCAGCGTCGACAAATTTGGGCTCCACGGACTTTCATGTAAGATAATAGCTTTTAGGTTTTCACGACACAGTTCTTTGAACGTTGTCATCCGAAGGGCTCTTGTCTCTACCTAGTCAGGTCATAAGTATTGTCACACAGTAAAAACTTTTCTTTTAGAATGTTGGCCACTAAAAAGTTTATTGAATTCGAATTTCGAATTGTTCATAAAAATAAAACTGTATACTTTTTAGAATTTTACTCATTTTTAAATATGGAGTGGACGCTTAAAGAAGACCGTGTTGCAGTTATTGCGTTGCATCGTTGCGGTTATTAATTCAAAATTTTCACATACTGAAAAATTTTAATATAACCAAAAGATTCGTTTATCGTACCATCAAACGATACAACGAAGACTCTAGTATAGATGACTCTAGTGTACGCGGGAAAAAAATATCGGGAAACTTTTTTTTCGGACGAAAAAACTTTTACCGTAGAAGAGAGCTACAACAAACCAAATGATTAGGTGTACGCACACAGTAGTGAAAAAGCGAGCAACCGTATTCCGTGTTCCCAACGAGGTCATTTTCCATCCTCGCTCATGGTATGGTTGGGAGTTTCTTATTGGGGCTTAACGGAGGTACATTTTTGTGAGAAAGGTGTAAAAACGAATGCAGTTGTGTATCAAAATACAGTCCTGACGAACCATGTGGAACCTGTTTCTCATACCATGTTCAATAACAGGCACTGGGTATTCCAACAAGATTCGGCGCCAGCTCATAGAGCGAAGAGCACACAAGACTGGCTGGCGGCGCGTGAAATCGACTTCATCCGGCATGAAGACTGGCCCTCCTCCAGTCCAGATTTGAATCCGTTAGATTACAAGATATAGCAACACTTGGAGGAAAAGGCGTGCTCAAAGCCGCATCCCAATTTGGAGTCACTCAAAACATCCTTGATTAAGGCAGCCGCCAATATTGACATGGACCTCGTTCGTTTTGCGATAGACGACTTGCCGCGCAGATTGAAGGCCTGTATTCAAAATCACGAAGGTCAGTTTAAATAAACCTTAGTGTCATAAGAATCTATGTTTTGTTAAGTTCATTTTGGTATATAAATGGTTACATAATGAATAAACTTGTTTCAATTATTTTATATTAAAAATGTGACAGAATTTATGACCTGACTAGGTATAAATGTTCCCTCGGTTTTAGAGCCTTGTGGAATATTTAGAGACGATGGCAGGAGACCCGACGGTATGACTTTGCTACTTGCGTAGACACTCTGGCGGCCTCTCAACTCAGGGGTACCTTGTTTAGAGCCGGAGCGGCATCAGAGGCAGCTTAACTGAGTAAGTTGTGCATATATGAGTCTCCGAGAGATGACTACATATTTGTGCCATTTGCTGTGGAGACTATCCGTCCATGGAGTCCACGTGCGGTTGAGTTCCTAAAGTAATTCCATCCGCGGCTCGTCGTTGCTGCTGGTGATAAGAGGGCTGGTACTTTTCTCCCTCATAGGCTAATTGTGTCCATTTAGCGGGGAAATGCAGCCAGCGTTCTTCGCACGATACTGCGGGGAGTAGGACTAAATTATGATAATAATAATAATAATAACCTAAAATATAATAAGAACCTCGTGAAAGCCGAAACAGATAAGCGTACAAAATATCTGGACCTGGCTCACGAAGTGACCAACATGTGGGGCGGAATGCCGGCCGAAATTATACCTGTTGTCGTTTCTGCGAACTTGTTAATCCCAGTCAGCCTCTCGGGTCATCTGAGGTGACTGGGACTCCGTGACGGACCGCTCCAAGCTCAAATGCAGAAGGCGGTGCTCCTCGATACCGCCCGCATCATTCGCCGTTTTCTTTCTCTTTCCCCCTAACCCTCGGTCGTTTGGTCTCCCCTGCCGAGGGCTTCCATCTGGTTGGGTTTTTACTTATTTATGTATTTATTTTATTTTGTTGATATTTATGTATGTTTATCATTTTTATTTACAAGTATATAATTATACAGCCCAACCAGATGAGAAAACTTTACAGATAACCCAGATAATAATAACTTTGTTAAAAACTTTAAACGTGTAGTACATACAGCGAAAAAAGAATGTCTTACATGAAATAATAAAATTTAGGTAAAAATACTAGTGAGGGTGACGTTTTGTTCTCCTTGCTAGACTATAAAATAACCTGTATTAAGGAGATACAGTTCCTTACCCCCTTATAAATAGGGAACAAAAAAATGCTCTCAACTTTTTAGTACTACAGACAGTTCGTGCGTGCGTGCGTGCTTTTAAGTGTGTGGTAATTTCGATATAACGGATATTGCGATGTTGTAACATCACTGTATGTAATATAAACAATTGCCTTATATTGAGAAACGTTATGATCTTTGTAGAGCTGAATAGTTGGATATAAGGTAGGTCGAAAAGAAATGATCTTTAAAATTGCTCTATGTGCGATTTCTAAAGGTTTCAAAACAGTTTTCGGCACAACCCCAACATGAAATGCAGTAAGATATGATAGAAAGGCAGAGTGCAAAATAAACATTGGGTATAATACTCTGTTCAGCGACGTGACGAAGTGATTTGAAAATAAAAATTAATTTACGGACTCTGCTTGTTAAATTTTCAATGTGGGCTTTAAAATTTAGAGTTTTATCTAGAGTTATGCCAAGATATTTGATTGTATCAATCGGATTAATAGAAGGACAATGGCAATTTTGTTGGTTTTGGTAATGACATGAGTGAGCTATTAACTTTATTGGAATTTTTGGTTGTGATAATGGAGAGATAGAAAAGGTAACGAATTTAGTTTTTGCTGTATTTAAAGTAAGGGTGTGTGCACGGAGCCAATCATATGTGATGTTAAAGAAAATAAGAGATAATAAAGAAGATAAGAGCGGTGTCATCAGCATATGAAACTATTTTAGAGTTATGGACTTTAAGATTGCAGAGGTCATTAAGGAAGATCAATAATTAAGTTTATAGTTTTGGTTTTTTTATTATTATAGTTTTTAATATTGTATATAATAAAATTATGTTAATAAATTAATGTTTCTATAAAATTGTTTAACTTTCGTCCGTAGATCTCTAGCATTTTGATAGAATATGTTAAGTAAAACTGTAAATGTTAAGTTTAACTAAATAAGTTTTTACGTATAGAACGTTCAAATAAAGTAGAAACAACCTTAAGTGTAGGTTTATTGCCGGCCCACTAAATTATTTAGCAAAAACGAGATGAACTGATCTCAAAGCTTACTTTCTTGTGTAAAAAGTGCTATTTAGAATTATATGCAGATGATTTTTAAAGTTTATATGTAAATAGGCGTAACAAAGCAGGTATTATATTCACTGGTAACGGCCATCCATATTTGTAACAGTTTTCTGTAGTACTACGCCTACGAATTATTTCATTTAAGAAATACTAAAGCAAGCATAATTTTCTGTACAGAACCTGGCAAAATGTTGCTCTGGGCACTATGAATAAAGCAGCTGATAAAAATGTTACACTCTTAATTGTACGCTGCAATTGATCTTATAGAAAAAAATTTCCGCCATATCAGGTGCATGAGCTATTATTAAAACGAGAAGAGGTAAATTTTGTTTTAGAGATACGCAATCAATATTATTTTGTCTGCAATTGTGCATAAAATAAAAAATAACTTCATCCGAAGAAAAATACTGGTATTATACTCAGGATCATCAATTGGTATGGAAAAAGAAATAATTTTACCAGGTTTCTAAAATCAATCAAAATTAAACAAATAAAAAAAAATACATTTATACAACTATACATACACATATTGATTTATGGCCGCTTATTAACTGACGTTAACTCAGTACTTACATAACATTCTACAGTCACGCCAAAACTAAGAGGAGAAAATCTACACGTAATAATTTATTGCGAAAATTTTGTGATAAAATAAGAAAAATTACAAACTTATCCATGATACCCAATACTATACATAAATAAAAAATTAGTGAGCTTGCGTTGGTTTTTAAAAAGATTACAAGATATAATAAAAAGAAACAAAAATGAATGTCAAAAAATTTCAGGATCTGATTGACAATATAAAGCTGCAACTTAATCATGCTTTTGGAAACCACGCCAGTTGTAAACAATACTTCTGTGCAAAATGGTGTACACAAGAGAAATCAGAACAGACAATATCTTTATTTTTCAATTTCCGCAGAGTTGTAAGTAAAAGGCCAAATACGCCATGTGCCATTTTAATTAAATATATTTTATATAAAGTAATCTTGACTATGTTTCATCAATTGACCAGTGATAAAAATGAGAACAGCAATTTTATAATTGTGTTTACAAGAAACACTATCAGTTGAACCTTGCAGCTTGTTCATTATTTTTATTAGTAAAGTATATATAACTAATAGATCATTCCAACAATATTTTGTATTTAAATAAAAAGTGTAGTATTCGCGTAAATATAAGAAATCATTAATATTTTGTATTATTCTTTATTTTGCCTCGTCTGAAATGTTCTAAACTCTATAAAAATGTGGCGTATGAAATGACTAACAATCACTAGAACATTTTATCTAGGTACAAAGATGTCTTCTGTATCTGAAACCAATATGAATATTGCATATATGTATACGGTAAAAATGTAAAGTAACAGGCTATATAAGTCCCTCTGATAGGCACAGGACTTCTGTTATTTTGAGAGGGTTTTAGGGCAAGGAAATGTCCGCTACGCTGATCAAACCCGGGGGAAAGGAGACAATTTCTTTTTGTATGGAAAATGGGCCCACCACGAATTTCAGAGAATTTTAATGAAATGTATATCGATTTGTTCCTTATGAGATATATAGATTACAAAATTATTATTAGTTTTATCGCATCTAATGGGAATTCTGAGAAATTAGTTATTGAAATATGAATATCACAATAACCTTAAAATAAACTAAAAGCGATTTTCTTGTAGTTTTCACAGATATTATGAGTTAGAATAGTGTATATAGCATAGAATAGCTTATTGTTTAATAGTATTAAAAAAGTTGTAGGTTACATTCAGCAATTATAGGTACTTTAATATTGATGCAAAATCTTTTTAACACTTCACGTAGTACACAGACCAACAGACGTAGTGTGGGGACTATTTTTTACAGGTATTTATTGATTAGTGAATATACATCACAAACACCATTAATTTAATTAAATAAATATGATTAAAGACAAGATGAATAACGGATAATATGACCATTTATAATATTACCTTTACATGCTATATAGTAGTTTTAAAGTGGTTGTATAAGGCTAAAACACAAAGTAAAATGCCACTGCATTTATTGTTGTAATTATTTCCAAAGCAGTCTATTAATAGTGGAACAGACAGACAGGTGCGGTGTCAAGACTTTAATATGTTTTGGTTGAATCAGTAAAGGTGCAGTGTGTATACTTTGTTTTAAAATATATTAACTGATTACTTATCATACCCCAAATAATATTAAAGCCAAAATGACTAGGTAATATCATGATTATTTATGTTATTACACCCATAAATATGAACTAAGATGTTTTTAACTGGTTATGTAAGGATAACAAAAACACATGTTTAATTTAATTGTATGTACAAGTATTTAGACTTTTAGAAAGATCGTTTGTAAAAAGTTGTAGAGCCTGCATAAGGGTAGGAGGAGGCCAGTTCCAGCATTTTCTGTAATTGATTTTAAATAAAAACATTGGATATAACTCATTTTCCTTTCATTAATTTCCGCATCTTTAACAAATCGAAAACAGTACAAACCATATTTCACAGCTGTACTTAATAGAACATGTCAAGTTTTACTATTTGTCTCGCTCACACAGCTTAGAATTCGTCCAAACAAGGCGAGCAGGTAGTAAAGTAAAATTTTCAAGGGCGA